GAAGGCTCAGAACTGACTTGATAATGATTTTTAATTACCTACTTAGCGAAAAGTGATGTAGAATTGTTTTCACTCTGTAGTCCAAGGACATCTGTGCGCTATTTCCAAGGGGGACACAAAACCCAGAAAGAACAGAGCTAGCTCCTGTAAGCTTAAATTTTCTCTGCAGGGTTGTTAATCTCCACAGGAACGTTTTTAGAATTGAACAAATTGAGAGAGGTTGAAGGCCACTGACTGGCCATTTCATGGGCTAGGAGCTAAAGTCAGCCAACATCAACCTGGAAATAAATTGCAAAGTTTCAATTTGCTTGAAACAGTTAAGTGTAATTAACTGCTGGACTGCATTATACATTGCTGTGGCAAATTATCCATAGCTGATTTATATAATCTTTCTAAAAGATGTGCTTTAATTCACTGCAACTTGCTGTTTTGCATGAGGAAAATTCCACAGCCTTTCCTGTGTAGGAGGTTGTATTAGATTGTGAAAATAGTTTATTCTGGCCTTAAAAGCAATTAATCCATGTTCAGCTCATTTTTATCATAGTCTTTGAGCAAGTTGCATACCAATCCTGGGGTGTGGCAGCGAAGCAAATAGGATGATTTACTCCATTTCTAGAGGTCTGAGTTGGCATTTCCCTAACCTACAGACTTGTGCTTTGGACTGTCTGCATTTGACCCAGCTGTAAGTGAGAGCCAGATTCTGAGGCTTTGGACTCAAAAGTACCCAAACATGATTCTAAAGTTATCACTATTTTTTCTGTCATTTTTCATAAGCAGTGTTGTGCCCCTCTAAGTCTGATGGGCCATCTGATGTTCTTGATGTGACTATGTATCTGTCTCAAGCCGTCTTTGAATTGCACCTCACTTCATTTGGAGAAGACTTATGAGATGCCAGTGTTTTTGTTGATGCAATGGAGAAATAGAAATACAAAATAACTGAAATGGGCAAGGCTTTTCATAGGATTCTTTCATTAAAATTTCCAAAAATAAAACCAAACCAAAAATGCTTTTTGAAGACATAATATAGATCAAGACAGCATATGAAGAATCAAAATGAAAGTCAGCTTGTTTTTGTTTCACTGATAAAGTATGCAATACTATTACAGGAAAGACTATAAAACTCCAGTAACTGTTCCTGAAGTTTTGTGACTGTGGAAAGTATCTAAAGGTACGGATTTTCTTTATACATCTGACATGTTTACCACTCGCAAAATTAAGATTAATGGCATATGTTTTGCGGATGTCATAAAAGGGAGTAAAGAGTGTAAGGAAAATATAAATAGAAGTGTTAATTATGAAATTCACTTCTTAATTCTACATGATTTTCTTAGGAAAATAATTTACGTACCTGGGAAAACATCTAGATCGTGTAATATTGTAAAGTTTTGGGGTTTTTTTCATTAATTTGGCAAGATTATAAAATAGCTAAACTAAATCTATTAGCTAAATTATATAAAGGTTATGCCTTCTATTTGCCCTTCAAGAAAACAAAAATTCATGTTTTAGAAACTAAAATACTGATGACTCTTACTTCAGTGCCTTTTAAGGAGCAACTGACTGTGTTTGCTCATGCAGAATTATACACAATGTAGACCTTTTCAGGACATACAATTAAGAAACTATAAGCCCATTAAGGTAGATTTGTTTCTAATATATTGGTCCAGTTAATTATGATGTAAAATATTTGAAAAGGACAAAGGTAGAAGGTTATATGACTATGACTTAAGAGAATGAGATATACTCGTACACTACTGTGATGTACAGTTGAGATAAAAACTCTGTAGTAATACTATTGTATGTGTTCCAGAAAAAGCTTATTTATAGGCACACATTTTAAGGTCAAGAGGGACCAATAAGGTCAGAAGACGACATGTTTTGATCTTCTCTGTAAAGTAATCTAGATTTTCTGACAGAAATTTCTGCCTCAAGCCTGGAACTTCTCTAGAACAGCACAGGTCACAAAAGTTTTTCTTCCATTTTCTAGTAAAGTAAGTGCAGAGAAACATGATAGTGTGAACAATGACAATCCCTCTTCTGTATTTGTGACTAACGTTATCTCCAAAAGTGGCAACAGGTCTTGCTGCTGCTTTTGTTCACTCTCTAGAGCCACATTTAGTCTGCTTTGCTTTGCATTGCTCTGGCCTTTGGTGTTTTAATTGAAATAGTGCTGAGAGCTTTAGCTTCCATTAAAAATTTTCTTAGGAGTATTTACTTTTGACTCTAGCATTCTGGTTGCTTAATGAAGAAATAACATAATTATCAGAAATTATCAGAAAGTCACTTTGTAGACTTGGATATCACTAGGATTTAGGATGATGCTGTATATTGACATTAGGACCTAATGCAGGATGCCAAACTTAAAAATCTGTTTTGTGGTTCTGTTCTTTCTCTTATTCCCCAGTCTTCACAACCTATCCATTTATAAATATTTTTTTCTGTCATTCAGTAGGGGAAATAATTAGATGTGAACCACTTTCATACTGCACAAAGTTAAAAGTTTTACACTTCCAGTAACACAGATTAATTACGCTCTTTCCTTATATTTTCTTTGATTCATTTGCAAAATCTCCTATTTTCCCCAAATTTTTACTGAAACTCCCACTGTGTTACAGGATTAATATCAATGGTGCACAGCTGGGGAGTAAGTTTGCAAGTGTACAAGAATGAGCAGGCTTGGATCAGCAGGTCACTATCAAAACCCACCCACGAGGGCTGGCAGCAGAGATTGCCTCCTAAGAAGTTGTATTGTTTTCCACTCAGTGAATGTGCCACGAACTAATGGGAGAGAAATGTTGAGAATTATTCGTTGTTTTTTTTTTATGAGATTTATGAGCCAAATTAATAGTTTTGTTTGCCTGATTTATTATACTTGAACAGATAGAATACTATTAATATTACACTTTGAGCAAGAAGTTAAGGCCCAAATAGTCAAAACGTTACTCATCTGATTGGAGTACTTCAATTTTATAGGAGGGAACAAAGTAAGATGTTCTTTTAGAATGTGGATATATGTAACTCAAAGTGTAAGCATGTAACACCAAACTTTGTGCCAATATATTGTCTGTCTCTACAATAATCTTCCACATAGCCTCTTCTGTAAAATAGAAGTGTTTCTGTTTTTATAAATTCTGGCTATTCTATCCAAGTCAAATATTGAAATAAACAACATGAAATTAGTAATTAGTACTTGGTCTCCAGAATAAAATATATTTAGAATCATAGAATCACAGAATGGTTAGGGTTGGAAGAGACCTCAAAGACCATCTAGTTCCAACCCCCCTGCCATGGGCAGGGAAACCCTCCACTACACCGGGTTGTCCAAAGCCTCATCCAACCTGGCCTTGAACACTTCCAAAGCATTTGACATGATGGAACTGTTTGGTGCATTTATAAATGTGTCATCAATGTCAAAATATCAGTTATTTGATATAATACCAAATATTTAACTAATTTTCTCCTTATAAGCTCCTTGGGAATGAAAGTGTTTTTTCATTGTTCCTTGCTTGATTAGACAATAACACAGATCAAGCAGAAGTCACTCCAGAGACAGGGTTAGAGCACCAGGCTACAGCTAATCCTGCAGCTGCTTCATGTAAAGCCTTGTACTTACCCCCTAGTATCTCATACGGTTGTGGCTAATTAGGTTCCTACATGTAGAAATTGCCACAAAGAGCATGACACCTTTTCACTACCCATCCTACTATTTGCGCAGTGACCCAGCATCACTGAAAGGTATTGCTGTGACTTGCCTGAATCTTCTTGTTTTGCTGTGAGAGGTTGGGATGTCTCCATGTATAAATATTGACAAGCAAATTTTTTAGCATCTTTCTGCTTTTTCTTCTCTTTCTTCTTTCTTTCTTTCCTCTTCATCTAACCCTAGATGAATATTGAAAATCATCACTAGGGAAAAACTTCCAAAGGAAGCCCATTCTGCATTTCACTCTGAAGCACAGCTCAGATCTGAACAGAGTTGTTGGAGTAAGGAATTTTCCTTGCCAGAGACATTCACAGGCGCTGTTCTGCCATGAGGTGGTAGAACTTCTCTCTGGAGTCTGAGATTTGCAACATCTTTGGAGAATCTTGATATCATGGTGGTTTGTGGGCTGAAAGCTGCCCAATGTTACCGCTGGTCTGTTGATTACGAGACGTATGGCTTAGAATTAGGAACCGTAATTAGATCCAGAAGCAAGTGGGGATACATCAGAATGCATACAGCCCTGGAGTAGTGTGTTCCTTATCAAATAAATCAGGATTTGTGTTGCTTCCTTTTCTTCTTCAGTGAGAGTCAGAGACAGAGTAGGAATTACTGTAGGAAGCTCTTGGTCTGGGACAAAAAGGTTGTATTTGGAATAAATATCACACTGAAAACTTTCCAGCCTAAGCCTTTCAGTAATTTCTCCGTATCATCTTAATGTATTTAAACTCTGTAAAAAATTATGCTGCAAAAAGTTGTCCCCATGTGTAATTTTTCCTCAAGTGAAGTGCATACCTTTCAAATTATAAACTTCCTACTTGTCCTAGGAAAATCCTCACTGTATAAATAATTGAACTCATCTGCTGTGAACACAAGTATTCTTTCTGTAGCAGTCTAAAATATATGCCTAAATACACATCTTGTACTTAGTGCTTTAAATAGTAATTACTCCCATGAAGTCACTGGAAGCCCTTAAAAGGATTTGACAGTTTCCCCACAATCTTTCAGGGAATGTAGTAGCTGGGCTGTGCAGTGCTACATCCACTGATAATTCAGCAGCTGAGGAACTCAGCAAAGCCCGCTCCAAACTTCTCAGCTGTTGACAGGCTTGACTTGCTGAGAACACTGGTTAAATATAGCACAAGCGAGCTGAGCTCAACAAAGTCATTGCTGTAACACTGTGTGAAGAGACCAGAAGAGGGGAAATACAATCTGAGAACTAAACTGCCAAAGCCTAACACCACCTAGCAACAGTTGAAAAAACTTTTAAACAAAAGTCTGGGTGAGACACAGGCAGAGTATACCTCCTACTTCTGCCGGGGATTTCTACCAGAAGCAGCTCCGGTCTTCTGTTCTCTCCCCTGTTTCCTTCATTACTTCAGCTGCTGGTAGACCTAGAAAAGTAGGAAAAGTTTCTCTCTTTGTGTTCTCCTGCACTGGATCAGTCTACTACTGTGGTAGCGCTGTGGAACAAGCTACTGCGATCTTGTGGTGTAAAGGACATATTCCCAAGTTCGTGTTCGTGCTGACAGGTAAGACTGAGTTAACCACTCCAATGCATTCTTTTTAAAAGGATTTTCTTTTCTACCGACTATTTTCTCTTCCCTTCTGTGAACAATCTTCTGCATGATTTGGAAGTGTCAGTAGATGAAAGCTGTGATAAAAGTTTTAGAATTTTTTTTTTTATGTTTTCATCAAAGAGAATCATTGCTTAAATTTAACTTCTGCACTTCTTAGAACAAGCATAATCAAGCAGCTAGTAGTAATATGAAAAAATATGTATGGATTTTGACAAGCACCTTCTTGTATCTGCTTACATGCTGACCGAAGACAAACCAACATTTAAGAATAGAATACATATCATTCTTTACCGGTGATAGCCTAGCAATGATTAAAAACAGTGACAGCCTGTGTGATAAGTAAGAGAAAATAACCATTCGGTAACTGAATTAACTGAATACTTTGTGACCCAGTGCACTTGTAGTTTTTGTTTCCTTACTACTTTCAGCACAGAGGCACACCTGGTGCCTTTCATACTATCCTTGTGACAATCTTGGTTCTTCCTCTTGTACTTCTTTACATAGAACAAATATTAATCTCTGTTCAATTGATTAGCTGTATAATGAAACCATCCTAAAAACTGACCTTATGTTTACTTTATTGAAATGTGCTCGAGCTAGGTCATTGTTGTTCAAGTGTTTGTTTCTTTTAGCAAAATAAATGAGAAACCAGTTCTCAGATGTAGTACCCTGACAGCAGAATGGAAGCCTGTTTGTCTCTTGGAAATGCATATCCTGTGGTCCCATAACGGTCATGTAATTTAAGGGAGGAATTGCTTAGTATGATTTGCTTTGTCTAAACTGACAAAAACTGTTTGGTCAGTTGAAGAATGAATCCCCCCCACTCTGTCTTTTAAAGCCATTTTCTCCAAACAAAAGAAATCCAGTAAGCATGAATTTTTAAAAGACATACTGATTATGAATTCGTATACCATATGAATTCAGTTATGAAGGCAAAGATTTAAAGAATGCACTTAACTTGTGCAAAAACCCTGTCCACAGATTTATGTAGAATTGTCTCAGATGAAAAATATTTGTCCTAAAGAAGGAATGGACTGACCGAGTCTATGCTGTCTGTCTGTGGTGTTTGACACTTAGTCTGTGGACTCTAGGACTGCCTCAGGAAGATGAGAAGGTCTTGCTTTAGCTAAATAATTCTAGTTTCATCCCTGCATACTATAGAAATGACATCAATACCACATCTTAGCAGTGACATACTTACAGATTGGGTGAAATCAAAATACTCTGAAGCAACTTTGAATTGGTGGCTGAGAATGTAACTGCCTGTGAAACCATAAGATAAATGAAGTATTAGGATGGAGGAAAATTCTTAAAAGGAAAAAGAATATAGTTTACATTTTATTTCATAGCAAGGAGCACACTACTTATGCACTAAATAGGAATGCTTTTTGGTGGTCATGATTTAATGTGATAATCATTACTGTGGAATTACTACAGCACAATGTTATCCCAAATCTAAATCTCAAAAGGAAACTTTGGCATTACTTTTTAATATAGACATATCCTGAGAAAGTTCTCTTTTTTTTTTTTGTGAGAAATCTGTACAGTGAGAACTAAAACTGAGACAATATGATTTGTACACTTCTTGTCATCTTGACGTTAGAGTGAAAATTACTGGTTCTTATTTTGACTGAGTTAACTGACAACTAATAATCTGTGGAGAAGAGGCAAATTTGACCTTCTGAATGTGTAGGGATGACAAAATCTGGGAAAATGCTATGCTAATTATTAACTGCTTTTTTGGTTATTTGTTGCTCAGCATAATATATGGTTTTACAATTTTACTTTTCTTGCACAATTTACTTTTAGCAAAGTTTTTAAAAGCAAATTTGTTAGCCTGATAACTATCAAATGAAGTGACTTTTGAACAGTCTGATAGCAACTTCCAACTCTAACACATGGAGTTGTGGTTTTACATACATCTGTCTTCCTTTCCACTTCAAAATGGAGGAGGCGGCTAAAATTACTCTTCTCAACAGGTGTCCACAAAGAGGCTCTGGGATTTTCCAATCAAATCTGTGGAATATGTAATGTGGCTATTTGACAGATGGTTTCATATTTGAAAAATAGCCAATTCTACTAATGACTATAGTGAAACCAAGCTCAATTTTATATCAAATCAAAAAGTAATTTAGGTTTTGGCAATACACTCCATTGCAGAGATTTTCTTGGAAGACAAGTAGACATAGCATACCCATTTATTTTCCCCATTATATATTATTTTGATTTTGTTTATATTCCTGTAACTGTGGAATGAATGGTGGCTTTCATGGTGCTAAAGACTGTGTATTCTTCCTAATCTGAATCCACTACCAGACTGCCTGTGGCTTGTTCTTTCACCTTCATTACAGCAGTATTATAATTTATGGCCTCTTTTAACCTATCTAGCACAGCTAAAGACATCATCCTAACTGAGTGTTTTGTCATCACCTCAGTCTTTCAATCTCGTTATAAAACTTTTGGCTCTTTTTGACACCACATTCAAAGACTTGAAATTCATCTTCAAAGCTCAGCACTGTTCTGTCCTTGCCTACATCTTCCCTGATTTTCCTATATTCCTCCCACTCCTATCTGGTAGACTATTAACCTTCGGCTCTGCTGGTAACTGGTCCAACCTGTATGCTACTAGATTTAGAAATCTTGAAACTGACCTGATGACATACTAGTGAAAACAGTGCCTCTCACTGTTGCACCTGACGTGAATATCATGTGTCTACTGACAGAGCTATGTCTACCAAGGCAGGACTCCTGAAGATACAGTTGTGCTTCCTAGAAGCAGCTTGTGAAGTAAGCCTAAGAATGTTGTGAAATCTACTTTTACTAGTATGCCCTGTTTTGTTCCTTTGGGTCATAATTTTGACAGTGTAGCCATTTCTATACTGAAAGCTTTTTAATGATAAAGATGTGTCAGTAAAACTACAGGATCCTTCTGTCAACATAGATTCCACATATGCTTAATTTAAGGCTTTTGATAATCTCGTCTAACTCAGTTGATGTGCCTCCAGGCATAAATTAAGAATTTGCCTTAGAGGTGTGCTGAGTCAGAGGCCAGGTTTATGCCACTGAATTTGGAATGAGATTTCCTTTGAGTTTAATGATCGGCTCTTAGTGTTCAATAATTAACAGATACATTTCCAGTCCCCTCAAGAACATTTAACAAAATAGATCATCTATATTCCTGTCCAAAATATTTTTTTCCTAAGAGACATTTTACTTTTTCACTAATTTCCTGTTTCTTCCCCTCCTTTCTCAAAGTCTTTTGTTGCAGCTTGCCATGCTATCTTACTATATAAATTGAATTTGAGGGCAGGGATTTTGTTCTTCTAAGTGTCTAAAATGCCATTTGGAGAAAGACAGCTATAATATTTGTGAAGAAAGCAGATGAAACAACAAGACAAAGGAAAAGGAATTCCACTTCATCTATTCATATGTCCTATTTCACCAAAAATACTTGGTATATAAAACCTAAGATAAGAACTGAAAGCTAGAAAGGTAAAATAGTGTATGTGATACAATTATAATCTGTTGTACAGAAAAGTTTAAATATTTCTTTACAAGAAGCACAAACACCTATACTTTTCAGCTTCATCACTTTATTCTGGTGCTTTTCATTTTTAGCCATTTCTCTTTTCATTTCTTTCAGTGTTTTCTATGGAAAGTTGTTTCTAATTTTATACAAAATACTGGGAATTATTTGGGGAATACAGTTTTTTCTTGATATTGGAGGATATTGGATAACCAAGGAAACAATTAGTAAAGAATTAAGATTTATTAATATCTTTTTTTTCTCATTTAGTAGTTAGTATTTGTACCAAGTCAGTGGCACTAGAAAAATAAAGCATTTATATCACAGTCCTGTAGTTATCCTTTGAGGTACTGGTGTCTAAAGGAGACGAACAGTTGTACCTATTTCCTGTTCAGGAGAGACAGTGGGTGTCTCTAATCATATTGAAGAATGTGTGACACCTAATGTATTTGTGAAAATTGTGCCTTTCTTGATATTCTGTTAGATTTTTCTTTTTATTTTGGGTCTTGTGACCTACCCTTTCAGCTTCTGCAGAGAATCTGCATTTTCTGTGTTACTTTTTATTCTTATTATCATAATAAAATAAGTATTAATATCAATGCAAATACAAAGTCTTCCTAAGTTGGGGCAACTTTTTTTTTTTTTTAAGTTCAGGGTGACTTTGCCCTATCAGTCTCGTTCTGTTTCGGCTGGACTATAGTTCTAAATCTTTTCCACAAGTAAAGCATGCAAGGGCTAGCTCTAAAAATGGTATTAAGATTACATAGACTGTGATCGCCTCCAAAATGGTTTACATACTTTGCAAATACAGAGGAAGAGACAATTCCTACCATTAAAAGCATGTTTCTTAAAAGCACAATTGCATTTTATTTCGAAATCATTCTTGTATAGATACACAGCTGTTAAAATACATGATTTATCCTGGGATGTTTAGAGTAGTGTTCTGAGGCAATGAAATAGCATTGCTTTTTTTTCCTCCTAGTTCATGGAAAATTGCTAAATGTGATCTTACAGAACTGAGAAGAAAATGAAAAATTCCAGCATCCAGTTCCTTAATTTTGGAGCTCTATGAGAGCTTAATCATAAACGTGCATATGTGTGTGTACACATGCATGCCTTTTGTGAGAAAAGAAATGCTTTTTGGCATTAGAGAATGCATTGCTGAAGGAGTGGGACAAACACATCCAAAGTACAGGGAAATAGGCTGGAGCTTGTACTTTTTCCCTTAAATGGGCAACCCGTCTAGTTGCTGTTAGCTGACACAAGCAAAGGGGTGTGTGAATCTAAAAGATTGCTGTACATTGTCCGAATGAGTTTCATTTCAAAGCTGATAAAATGGCAACTAAAATCTTAATTATCTATGATGTGGCCAAACTCACTCAGGTATAAACCAGTGAGGTTTCACAATAAGAGCAAAAACCTCAAT